GGATGGCAAAGGAGAATCACAACACTCAGCAGGCTACTGACCTACTTTGTTATTATAACTTATAGGAGCTATGAATGCATTTTTTTTTTCCCCTGTAAAGCTACATGGTGACTTGTCAGCAAATTAGTTACTTTTGTTAGAACTTTTAAAAAATTCTGTTAAAGCAATATATTCTATTTTTAAAAAGTCAGTAATATAATAATACCATTTGTAATTTATAGAATTTCAAATCTAAAATACATTGCTAGACCTCAAGAGAGGAGAGATATATTTTTAATTCTTAATTATATTATCTTGGTTATATTGTTTCAATCATTACTTAACTAGTTAATTGGGCTTTGTAAAACAAAAAGTGAACCTATTTTAATTTTGTCTTCATACATTTGCTAGAATATCAATAGAGAATAATTTAATCATCTAGGTTTCAATGTTCTACTTGTATATGGGGACAGGCATATAAACAATATAAATCCTTTCTTTTCCTAAACAATTTGCTTGAAATAGGAGATATTAATCAACAACTCTTTCTACCCAAGCCCCGCCCAGCACATATTTATTTTGATCATTATAGTTTTGAGCTAGATGTGGCTCAAATTATTTTGATTATGCTATTGCTGAAACAAATACAACTACAAAACTAGATATAAATTTCTTATCCTTTTAATTCCTGTAAAGTTAAAACAATTTCACAAATCAAACACTAACAAAACAATAAATAATATAAATGTATTGTGATGGATAATGTTGTTTTGGTAAAACCAATAGTTGCAACAATGTAAATTTAGTGCCTTTATGGCACTAATTTTTATAGATTACGTAGTTTAACACACTACTATACAATTGTGTGCTATGTAATGAGTAACTTGGTTTTGCAACCCATCTCTCCATTTTGACTGGTGAAAATTCTGTACAGCATTTAATATGATGTCACTTAGCCCTCATTTGATATAAATGGATCACTAATTATTAAGCCAATAAGTGAGAATTATTTTATATGGCACAATGCACTTCAACTATAAAAGCAAATCCAGACTCCATATTTAGGGAATATAGATGATTGTAGATTCATAATATGTTTACTGTGAAACCTTTCAAACTATCACCAACATATATTTATACATTTACAAGACTGCTGGGAGAAAACCTGTGCCTCCCTGAGGGTAAAGCTGCAGACTTCCATTAGAGAAACACTATTGTAGGGGCGCCTGGGTGGCTCAGTGCCCCGCATCTGGCTCTCTGCTCAGCAGGAACCTGTTTCTCTCTCTCCCTGCCGCTCCATCTGCTTGTACTCTCTCTCTCTCTGTCAAATAAATAAATAAAATCTTTTAAAAAAAATAAAGAAACACTACTATAGGAATGCACTATTTAGCTGCAAATCCTTCTTCTCTAAAATCATTCCCTAAATTATGTCATAATTAATATGTAAGTTCAGATGCATCATAATTTTTATTTCTTAGATTTTTTAAATGAGTATTTCATGTTATAACTTAAACCAAAACCATCACCTCTAATCACTTTCATAATGAACTATTACAATTCTAGGGTGATATACCTAGAAACAGGCACAAAATATGAGAATGACAAGATTTTCAGAACTAATTTTATTAGACATTATCTGACCAACCCAAGATTTTCATTCAGACAGAATTCTATAATTCAAATATCTCTTGAATAAAATATTCAATACAAAAGGTATTGAATATAGAGCAAGATTAATCCCTGTTTAAGTTGGATTTTGCAAGTCAATATCTACTTCTATGGAATGAATTGCAGATTAGAAACAGTTAAGAATAAGTATATTGAACAAATTACCAGTTACAGATATAGTCGTAGCATTACTCTGGATTTCTCATTATAGGACATATATGGATAACTAGCTAGCGATATATAGATAAAGATATAGATGTAAATGCAAATGTGTTTCAGAAAGATTTAAAATACATATAAAAAGATAAATATACACATATAAATGAAAATATGGTTAAGGAGGATTTAAAATAACACTTAGGGATATAAATCATTTAAGAATGCAAAATATGAAACAGAAGGAAGGTATAAGGAATTCACCCAACACCCTAATCTTTACCATCAATTATTTTGTATCAATGTCAAACATCATAGAATTGTCAAGCACATACCTAAGAATGACTGATACCATGTCCTGCATCTACCCTGATCTGGCTTCTCACTTTTTGCCTTCCCAATTTGAATTTGTTTTTCTACATCTACATCTCATATCCGTCTTGCTGCTTTTTAGTGTCAGAGCTCAAATGCTGATTTTTGAGTGTCTTTCTATTGTAAACGGTGTGCTGTGATGACAGGTTTTGTTTCTTGTCTTTACTGTTCTTAACTAATTTTTACAATCTGCGCAACACAAGATATTCTAATGTGGTTTAGAACAGAAATTACGGAGTCGGATAGCCAGGCATACTAATCTTGGTTCTATTAATCTACTAACCTCTGTGCTATTGAACAATTAGACTAACCTCTAAAAATTTCAGATTTCTGAACTGTAAAATGGGGGATAACAGTGCTCACCTCATTCTGTTGCTATGAGGACCAAATAAGAGCATGTTTCAAAGCACAAGGGCTTGTATATAGTAAGCAAGATATATACATGAAGGGTGCTTTTTTCTTATATTGGATTTTTACTTCTTTATAACTCCCTTATTGTGTAAATACACTTTGCTTTGTTTTGCTGTGATGGAAGGTTTTCTAGAATTCGATAGACCTAGGATAGAAAATGATACCTTCAAGGTCAAATGACACCATGGAGATTCTCTACTGATACAAAAATTGTCTTTTTTATGGTTATCACCTTTATATCACTAATACTCACAATATATTTCTGGTCTTCATAGCTGAACATAGACTTAACTGTTTCCTACCCTTGACATTAAAGTTACACAGGAAAGTAATGTTAAATAAATGTGAAAGGAAGTAAGAGCCAGTTTCATAAATAAACCTGCCCCTCAAAAAAGATGCAAGAAGAAAACCCTGCAAATTCAGGAAAGCTATTTTGTATAACATTGGGATAGAATAAAAGTTTGACTATGTTAGATTAAATACAAATACACAAAGTGAACACACGTAGACATACTTAAAAAGTGATCAAGATATTAAAATTTTTCTTCAGTAAATGTGCTTAGCACTGGATATATTAAGGAGTATATTCCCATATATTATAGTTACACAACTATATGCACTTCATGGATACCCCAAAATAGTCCCTTTACTTTTTAAATAAAGACAATTCGTATTTTTCTGAAAGATACCTAAAGGTAATTTAAAACAAAAATTATTTGGGAACTTAAATAGTGGTTGGTGCTGGTGATGAATCATCTTTCGGCAGTAGTGTTAGTGTTTTTATGCTACACACTCAGTTCATAGCTAGAATATAGAGCTGTGGCTTTTTCTTCCTCCCACCCCCGCCAAAATATCTTAATCATGTCTTCACAATTTTTCTTTCAGTGATAAGTAAAAAAGACAGATTTATAATTAAGAAGACTTCATAGATTCAAAAAGTGACCTGCACATTGCTTTGATTTTTAGGTACAGAAACACAAATACAATATTTCTCAAATGACTTTCAACAGAGTGGCTAGATTACAACAAACTACTGTATCAGGCACTGTTCTACGCACTACCATAGAGTACAGAACAAAACAGACAAATTCTTTGACTTAATGGAATGGACATTCTGTGTAGAGGACACAGAGAAATATAAATAACAAATGTGTGTGTGTGTGTGTGTGTGTGTGTGTTATTAAATTCTTCTCAGATAAAATATAAACCACTTGGGTGCTGTATTAGAGTGGTCACACACCGGCTTCAGTGAGGCAGCGACATTTAAGCAGATATGAATGAAATGAAGGAGAGATCCAGGTGAATATCAAGTCTCAAAGTAAGGAGTTAAAGGAATAAGAAGGCAGGGAGAGGGAGAGTGGGAAGGAGGGAGGAAAATAGGTAGGCAAGAAGAAAGAAAAGAAAGACCAGACTTCTTAACATGTAATGTAAACTCTTTTCTTAAAATATAAAGCCTGAGCTCTCGTTATTAGAAGAAAAAAACATATGTTCTTAAGATGTTCATATCATTTCTACAATAATAAGCCCAGAAGTTAATATGGAACATTTTGGGAAGAAAGAGGGCATTTGACTTATGCCAAAATTAAAATTTTGTGAGAGTCTCATAAAATTTATCTTCCATTGTTTACTATTGTTTCAATATCTTTGTGAGTATTGTACAATATAGATCAAAACACATGTTCTTTTTTAAAACTTATGTTCTTAAAATTAAATGTGGCTACGAATATACTTAATTATATATTTCAAACTTATATGTCACAAATTTTAAATATTTAAATATCTTTCAGGGTAAGGTGTACACCTGAAACTAATGTAACATTATGTGTCAACTATACTCACATTTAAAAAATTAAAAATTAAAAGTAAATAAAGTCTTTACCTTTTCCATGAAGCTTTCTTTGTCTTCCCTAGCAAAAAGTACTATCTGAAATACCATGTACATCAAATCTCATTGCATTTATACTGATGTACATGTCTCTGCATGTTTAAACACCACCTAGAATTACATGTCTTAAGCATAGTTAATGCCAAATCAAGTTGAAAGAAAGGAGTTACTCTAAGCAGTAGGCAGTTTTGGAAGAACATTGTACCATGAATATTGTACCATGATTGTAACATGATTATACGTACCTGTGAGTGTACATGTAGCTTTGAAATAAAATATGTCTTCAATACACACAGAGTAAGACACCTCAAAATAGATCCTTAACATATATGTCCCCAGAAACATTTTATGTAAATGAAATGTAGTTGTAGAAAAAACAACACAACATTTGATTTTACATCCATGAAAGCAAAATTAAGTTTTCTCTAAACATTTACAAAGAAGAAATTAGATCATTCGAACATAAACACTTAGAACTTTTTGGCAAAACATTGGTTATGCAGAGTGTAAAAGAATACGAATTACTTACAACCATTTCGTTCAGAGACACCCAGCAGTCTGGTGGGAAATCCTGCAGGAGTGGGACTAAGAACTGAAGACAGCCATCCCAGTGGCATAGCAGCAGCATCATGCCGATGAGGTTAAAAATTCTCACCACTGCACTGGCAAGGTCATATGTCATGTGGAAAATCTGTCGGCCAAAATATAAAATCAATTCTTATTAATGCTTATCATCATTTTCCTTTAAAGTCAAGAATACCCCCCGGGCGCCTGGGTGCCTCAGTTGGTTAAGCAACTGCCTTCGGCTCAGGTCATGATCCTGGGGTCTCAGGATCGAGTCCCGCATCGGGCTCCCTGCTCAGCAGGGAGTCTGCTTCTCCCTCTGACCCGCTTCCCTTTCATGCTCTCTATCTCTCATTCCCTCTCTCTCAAATAAATAAATAAAATCTTTAAAAAAAATAAAGTCAAGAATACTCCCAATGTCAGTAGACATTGACATTATGCAGTGTAACTACTGATTTCATAAAAATATGGGAAGAACTTGGGGCGCCTGGGTGGATCAGTCGTTAAGCATCTGCCTTCGGCTCAGGTCATGGCCCTGCTCCGTGGGAAGCCTGCCTCTCCCTCTCCCACTCCCCCTGCTTGTGTTACTGCTTTATGTCTCTCTCTGTCAAATAGACAAATAAAAAAATCTTCAAAAAAAGTATGGGAAGAACTTTTACAAATAGAAACAGAAATGACATTTCTTGATCTTTACATAGGCTGGCACTCTTTGAGTACTACCACCCACTGTGGGTTCTCCACAAACAACAGAGATAACATAACAGCATTAAATGTGGGTCCTGTTTTAAAGATCATTGGTTTTGCCGATAGTTTTCATTTACTGTCCTTCTGCACATTTCAGCAATGTTGCTCTAAAACAAGTTAACAGATTTGACCTTCTTCTCTGTTTCTCATCCCTTCTTAAATTAATAGATTTGTTGAAAAAAAAAGGTAAATAAGAAAAAAAATAGATTTGTTGAAGTACCAAAAAACAAACAAAACCCACAAAGACTGAAAAAAAAACCCCACAAAGACTGAAAATCATTAGCAAAAACAGATTAATTTCAAAATATAAAATAATATTGAGATTTAAGTACAGTGAATTTATAGCTATATGAGTGTAGGTACTCCTTTTATTGTGTATATTGAACATGAATAGTGGCCTTTGAGATAAAAAGTTCTCTGAATTTGGTTAAAAAACAATTGTGCCATACTTTTTAAAAATTAAAATTGTTATTTCCCTTTCCCGTGAAACTTTCTCATTTATATTTTCATGAAATCCAATATGACAGGGAAGATATTTCAGAAAGCACAGAAATTATGACAAATCAATATCTATCAGAATTTTGGAAGTATAAACTTACATATAGCTTGATATCTATGACTTTTCATCCATCCAGTTATTATAAGAAATAAAACCAGAACCTGAACCCTTTCTTTAGCAGCTTATATATTATATCACTCTCTACTACTAATATTTCTGCTTTTATTTTACCTATTCTAGAATAACAAAACCCACTTGGGAGCAGACCTACATTCTAGAATAAACTTTATTTCCTAATTGTTAAAAGGCTACTGAGTTAATAAAATTAATAAATATGCATAAATACACAAAGAAACAACACCTTGAAATATTTAGAATCACATTTGAATAATTTACCAAAGAATGGTCTATTCTTGAAGTAATGAGGACACCATGTACTGAGAAATTATCTGAGAAATGGAAAAGAAAACCCACAAATTTTATACTTTGATTTATTAAATATATCTTTGTAAGGAAATATCTATAATTCTTAAGAGGTACATACTAATGTATGTAGAGGCAAAATGACAGGACAGCTGAGGTTTTGCTTTTATAAAATCACCAAATCTGTTTTTAATTAAATATTTTTCACTTTGATACATTTCTATTAGGCATTAATTCTTTCTTTAAACCATATTCCTTTTTGACACAGTAGTGAGCAGTTCCCACTTTCTTTGTGGGAAAGTACACACTGTTCTGAATTCCTTTTAAAGGTAAGATTGGGATCCTAGATTTTAAAGGCAACAGATGATTTATTTTTATATTCAGACAGCTATACACAGAACAATTAATTTTTAAAAGAATTGAGAATTTTATTTTCCTCTAAGTAATTTTTTAAAAGATTTTATTTATTTTAGAGAGAGAGCAATCATGAACAGGGGGGATGAACAGAGGGAGAGGGAGAAGCAGGCTCCCCACCGAGCAGGGAGCCCAACACGGGGTTTGATCCCAGGACTCTGGCTGGGATCACTTTCGGAGCGGAAGGCAGATGCTGAATGGACTGAACTACCCAGGTCACCTGCCTCTAAATTATTTTTTAATTTTGTTTTGTATTTGGCAAACCTACAGAAAAGTCCTTTTGATGTTATTCCCTCTGATATTTCATGGTCACTAAATTTGTAAATAGAAATCATACCAAAAATGTCATCAATAATTTCTCATTAAATGTAATAAAATAAAATGTAATTTAAAAAGCTTTCTACTATTAAAGCAGGAAAATAAAATCAACATGGAGTTTAACATTTTTCTTTAGTACTAGAACCCTATAAATTTTTATCTAAGTATTTCCTGACAAAATGGTTCAATATGTCTTTTGTGTAAGTGTTGCATTGCTGTGAAATTGAGTAAAGTTGCAGAATACAAGCTTGTGGATCAAACAAGGAACTAATCACGTTTCAACCTGATTATCTGAAGTAAACAACATCTGAAACTCTCTGCCAAAGTCTATAAATTATAAGCATGTGGGCAACCATGCAATTATGAGACTTTAGAGCTGGGATGTTATAGAGAACTAGGTCTTGTTCTTAATACATGACTTTTATGGCTTTTCCACTTTCTTTGTCAGCAATTAGATTCTTTTTGTGGGATTTTAAGAGCTTATTTACAGTAACTGATTGCACATGCTGTAATTCAACAATTCTTTTAAGAAAATCCTATTATTTCTGAAATATTTTCCAAAGAAGCATAACCACCATTTTCATAAAGGAAGTTAATGGTGATATAAGGCCTTTCATAACATAGTAGAAATACATTTTTTATCTCCTTTTGCTTCCGTGTGGTTACTGAACTCCTACTGTAACAAGATAAGCTGTAGAATTAAACCTATTCTCTATCTCATTTCTATTTCCAACCTCATAGTATACAGTAGTAGCGCTAGATTTATGTACTAACTCTGCTACATAGACAATGCTCGGGAATAGTCTCCCTTTTTGGTCTTTAACATTCTGTGTTCAAAAGTAATTTTACTTTTTGGAGCTATCCCAAAATCCAGCTTTGGAAGAGGCATGAGCAAGTTACCTGCCCTGACACTGGTCAATACCAGAGGTTAATTTCAAATAGTCACATCAGTGTATCTCCATCTCAATTTATTTATCTGACCAAAGAACATTATAGTGTACGTAGTTTAACTTTTGATATATACCTGAATGTATGGAGTGCTTAGGCCCAAACTGATTGTCTCTTGAGCTCTTATTAATTAAGACATGCTGGTAGGTATAATCGTCTCATTGGTTGCTGAGACTATTGAAGGCTCTGTTAAAACCTTGTTCACAGAAGATGTAGAATAAGAAAATTATTCCCTTATGGAGCACATACATCTATAGATAGACAAATTAACCAAAGAAGGAAAAATCTGATCCAATTAATGCATAGCCACAACTTTTTATCGTCTAAGGGCAGCTTGTAGGATAAATCCAAGTATGACTTCACTCAACTTTCGGATCAAGCAGCTAATACCATTGATTAATATTTTTGAGTTTTTTTTCCCATCTACAAGATAGATATCCTTGAGTGATAAATTCCCATCTAAATCAATTATCTTAAAGCTACTCCACACAACCCCCCACACACAAAATGGCGCCATATATGACCCTCAATAAATTGTTAAATGAATGAGTGAAAATGTTGTAGGGATTTAATAATAATAGCCCAAGTACTTTTTATGATCTTAACAATATGAAGGTTTTGTTTTTATGTTTTAAACCAGGGAATTTAAAGAAGATAACTCTATCATTTTCTACCTTCCAAGTAATCTGACTTGACTTGAAACCTGATTTGACGGCTCGGAGTGTGGGTAGCAGAAAGACAGGTTGCTCTGACCCAATCTCAATATGCTGCTAAGTGGTACTTTTAAGAGTCAACTGAATAAAAAAAAAACAAAAAAACAAAAACACAGAATTAGGATAAGTTTCTAAAGCAGCTCTTTAATTTTATTTTTATCAAAAACCAGCCTACAAAATATGCCAGAGGAAGGCACTGGACTTTGCATTTGTCCAGCTCAGAACACTGTGTTTTTCATTTGACTTCAATGAAAAGAAAGCTCTGGTTTTTCTCTCTGAAATTCTCTCTGAATTCTTTTTATAATATTATAGTTCTAGAATTCTGCCCAGTTGGAGTTTAATGACTCCAGAGAGGATAGCTAACTAACTCTCCAAAACTGAAGAACGCTCTAAGATAATTTGATTCAGAATCCCCAATTCCACCCTATTATTTGCAAAATTGTTTACCATGATTTTTTTGTATATTCCACCCTGTTTTTGAAAGGTTAAATTCCAAAGTGTGCTGTATGGCAGGATCCATAAATTAGCTGAGTTCTTTCAAAACATGTCTATAGTCTTCCTTGATAAACTGGATTCAGAGCTTTTTCAATCTAATAGAATGATTATGATCAGCGGGCCTTAACTCTCTTTACCTATTTGGTGTACTATGTTTTACCTAACCACAAAAACTGTTGAAAGTAGTTTAAAACCTTTCATAGCATGCGTTGATCTGTCCCTAGTCTTTGGCTTCATGAACAGGGATCACTCAAAGTCTAGGTATCTTCTATGATCTCAATAGTGATTCAAGGCTTCAAATATAATTTAAAATTCTTATCAAAGTAACATTAAATGAATCAAATGGGTCAGAAAGAGTTCTTCTGACAAATGACATTCTTATTTTTAAGGTATAAAGCAAGGCTAGGTACCTTTGTTTCTCTTTTTTGTTTCTCTTTATAAACCTGCACCTGCATAAATTCAATTATCTTTTGTATGGACTGTCTATATGCCATGTTGACATAGAATATAAGAAAACAAACATTTACCAACTCAGTCTGTTTCACAGCCACCATGTTATCTAAGGAGTGAATG